AAACAAACATTTCAGAAATCACCTATTTCAACAGAATCTGAAATTATATATCACGTTATCTATGTATTATAAAAATGTGTGTTAAAAACTATTTCCAGACTGTGAATGCTGATGGCTATGTTTCTAATTAATTAATTAAAAATGCCTTTGTTTAAAGAGAGCCATCCATCTATCAATTAATCAATCAGCGTGCGGACAGGTCCCGTGCTGTCTATTTATCTTGCCAAATATCCTATTAATGTCAAATTAATTTGTCCAGTCTGAATATTAATCACTCTCGGGGCTTATTTTAATTCATTAACTTAGCCCAATAATTGTCCTTGTTTATTAGATCAAAGTGAGCAAAGAACAAAGTGATTGTTCTTTTTTAATATTTGTTTATTTATAGGCTACCTCATTACATCTATAGGTCTATGACTAGAACACTCATTAAAATAAGACTAATTAAAAGGATGGCTGTGGGGAGACCAAACACATAAAATGCAGCTCAAAGATACGATAAAACAGGCGCTGTACTAAAGTAAAAGAATCATATACCTGTCATGTTAACTACAGGTCTGCAGTAGATGTATGAGATGATTTCTGACAGCCTTTAGCATGAAAAAGCTGCCTCTTTTCTTCTCCTCGCATCGGGCGCAGTTAAAACTTGAGAGTGATGGAGTGCCGAGAGCTGCAAAGTACAAGAGAAGGGCAGTGTTGGAAAATGCTTAGTTTAGCATGATGAATGTGGTTAAACTGACGACGTTTTAATCTCCGTCACTCGACCCCCGTCATTTCTTACCAGTTTCCACCCGAGGCCTGAAGGGTCCTTAACTTTACAGGAACGTGAAGAATGGAAAAAGTGAAAAAGTCAAGGTCAAACGTCAACCACTTTCGTGACTAACTGGTCAGTCCTACAATATGTGCGGTTTTATACCTGTCAGAAAATCTGTGAAAATTGCCTAGCTATAGTCATAGTTAACTTAGTACTTACCCTGGATTAGTGACTTGCTGTATTATTATTATTATGTATTATGGTGAATTAATGTATTGCTTCTGATTGGTCAGTTGATTCATTCTAAGCTTAACAACAAATCTTTTTCCAAACAACAATTTGGTTTCACATTGCTCTGCAACCACTTCTCACATTACAAAGTAGTTTTAACTTGAATTATCTTTCAGGTGTTTATTTATTTAGTAAGTAGCTGTGCAATAAGGTAAGGTGCTGATCATCTTGTCAGGTATGTTTTGTAGAACAAATAGCTACTTGTACATTATTGTTAGCATAACTATGACAAAAAAAATTAACATTAATCCAAGTACTTCCCACGATGACCTAAGATTTTTTTTTTAATGTTTATTGATAGCTTATAGGGAAATATGGCCTGTGATGAATATGCTTATTATTCAAAGTTTACAGTACAGTATTTTAAACTTGACTTGCAAGTTAATATATAGTGATAAACAGTAAGTGAGCAGAGTATACAGTGTCTAAATCCATGCTAGTATTTATGAAACAGTAGCTGAAAAGTACCAGAATGATTACTTTCTTCTTGTAAGATTCTTAAGTACAGTTGACAATTGCTGTTGTTTCTGTTATTTCTAATAACTGATTTATTTTATTTTTGCCATGGTGACAGTAAATATTTTTACTAGATATTTTTCAAGACACTTCTATACAGCTTAAAGTGACATTTAAAGGTGGCAGGTTAGGATAATTAGGCATATTATTAAAGATGGTTTGTTCTGTAGACTATCGAAAAATGTAGATTAAAGGGGCTAATAATTTTGACCTTAAAATAGTTTAAAAAAAAAATTTAACTGCTTTTATTCCGGCAAAAATAAAACAAATAAGACTTTCTCCAGAAGAAAAAATATTATCAGACATACTGTGAAAATTTCCTTGCTCTGTTTAACATCATTTAGGAAATGTTTTATTTAATAGTGCATTACATTACCATGTCATGCATTTTGCCAATATAAACACATTTTAGACGTGTGAAATAAAGTTATTAAGACAATATTACAAATGCCTATCAGCTATTATTTTAAATAAAATCCTGGCCGCGACCTGAATCTTTTTATAATAGGAGTTCACAGTCTACCTCGTGACATAATTATTTGTTTAGATACATAGGTATTTATTTTGTCTGTCGTACCTTTAGTTTCTAAACCGTCTTTGACCCGACGCACTCTGCGCGTGCACGAGAATACATGTGTTTAAATGCGCATGTGCGGTCGAGGTTGCATCGGTCTGAGACTGCATCATGTTTGCATCCAGACTCTGCTGAATAATTCTGACTTCAGCTTGTATGTATACAATCCCTTACAATAGTGTTGGGGAAAGTTGCTTTAGAAAATAATGCATTACTATATTGAGTTACTACCAAAAAAAGGAACTAGTTGTGATGTTTAGCTTACTTGAATTGATTTCATAATTCCCTTATTAGTTTGCACATCACTTCACCTAAAATGTTTTGTAGATAACTGACCAACAAAAAATACATTAAAATAAATATACAAATTATACCGAACAAATTTTGTTACAAAAAGAGCATTTTTACAACAAAATATGCTATATGAAGTGGTCAGATATCGTTTCAATGTTTGCAGAAATCCAAAGTAATTCAAAATTTCACTTTGTGAGTTGTTCTTTTTAAGAGATTGATGCCGTTGATGTAGCTACTACCTCATATTGACAGGAACAGACATGAACTGATTCAGGTGTGCGTTTGAACTGAAATGTCAGAAAAATTGCAATAGGATATCATATAAGTTTTGCAACCTTAAAGGGCTCCACAGACTATTCATTCATTCATTCATTTTCTTGTCGGCTTAGTCCCTTTATTAATCCGGGGTCAGTACAGCGGAATGAACTGCCAACTTATCCAGCACGTTTTTACGCAGCGGATGCCCTTTCAGCTGCAACCCATCTCTGGGAAACATCCACACATACACTATGGACAATTTAGCCTACCCAAATCACCTGTACCACGTCTTTGGACTGTGAAACCGGAGCACCCGAAAGAAAACCCACGCGAATGCAGGGAGAACATGCAAACTCCTCACAGAAATGCCAACTGAGCCAAGGTTCGAACCAGCTTACTGTGAGGCGACAGCACTAGCTACTGCGCCACTGCTTCGCTGGCTCCACTTTTAGTGACTTTTCCACATGCACCATAACGTATTTAGCACATTAATGAAAATACCATTTACAAATTACAGTGGCACCGCCAGTATTTTGGAGCCATAGCAGTGCTTCCCACAGGCTTGAAATATACTTGCTGTGGTAGTCTGATTGAAACACATCTTTTAAACCAAAAAGTGAGATTTTTATTTATTATGACATTTTATTTATTATGTTTATGTTCAGTGGGTTATATTTATTTTTAAAAGACTGTTAAAATAAAAGAAATCCACTATTTCTCTTACTTTTATGCTACTTAGGAGCCATGTGCACACACTGACAGGTTAAGGCTGCTCTCTCTTAAGTTGCTTTATTGGCTTTATATGTTGTAAAGTATTGCCAAAGCATTTTCGATATGCATAATGAATGTAATATATTAACATCATCATTAAATTAATAAAATATACAGAAAATGGAAAATAAATGACAAAAAAAAGGGAATAAAAACAGACAATATTGCTTAAAAATGATATTACTAGAATAAAAAGTGTAGATTATTTAAACTAGGCAAATTAGTCGATTAGCCATTTCCAATGATGTACAAATACTTTGCAGCCAGTATATTGTGTTCTTTCTGAGCATATAGTAAAGTTTATCCGAGTTGTTTATTAAATGATTCATCATTTAATGTTTCTCTTGCAGCTGTTCTCACCCAGTCAGCAGCGAAAATGTGATGCAAGAACGCATACACATAAAGCTAACTTTAGAAAACGAAAGTAAAATCCGAATCCTGGATATTTTAGGAGATTCAGAAACTTCAGTCGGACACATTTAAGCGCAAAAGGCGCATCTCTGTGGGTCTGTAGAGCATGTGTGATTGTCTGTGCGAGTGTTGACAGTTCTCACACAACAAACCAGCAGTAGGAAATGTGCAGAGCGAGAGAAGATTTTCTACTGGTTAATCGAATGCGAGTGCTTGGCTTTCTTGGGCAGATACAAAAAAAGTGTAAAAGGATGATAGTAATAGTATTATTCATGTGTCCCCACCAAACATACTTGGGTGGCCATCAATATACCCGAGCGGCCCGCCCAAGTAAAATCTATGTGTGTGAAGCAGAGATTATGCGGAGTCACTGATTGGATCCAAGACCAGCGACGAGATGATCCCAAGGTTTCCATATCTGGGACCAGGCCATATCCTGAGCTGCTGCTGCGCTGATGGTCGTGGGGAGTGGAGAACATGTGTCTGATTCCAGCTATACGCTCCAGGGACAGACGAGTCTTCGCTGAGGCCATCTTCCAGCCTTCACTGTGGTGATTGAAGCTCTGCACAAGACTTTTGGCCAGCGGAGAAATTAAAATGGTCGTGCCCAACTGAGTCTGGTTCTCTCAAGGTTTTTTTTCTTCACTCCCATCAGATGAAGTTTTTTTTCCCTCTCCGCTGTCGCCACTGGCTCGCATGGTTCAGGATTGGTAGAGCTACGCATCGATGAATTTGCTCTTCAGTGTTTGAACTCTCAGTAATGATTAAATCACACTGAACTGAGCTAAACTGAACTGAATTTAAACACTAAAAACTGAACTACACTGTTCCAGTTACTATGACCATTTATGTGAAGCTGCTTTGACACAATCTACATTGTAAAAGCGCTATAAAGCTGAATTGAATTGAACATAGTAACACGATACTACCATAGTACCGGTAAACCGTGCAACCCTAATGCATACTTTATATATAAAACATGCTTTTTTTTTCACAATCATAAACTAAGCTGCAAACCAGATGTAGTACTTAGTATATACAGCATGCAATTCTAGATGCAGCGAGGCCAAAATACTATATAAAAATGCCTAAATGGAGTTAAAAGTGTCTGTGGGGAATAAATCCAAGAAATAGTAACAACTCATTTTTAATATGGGAAATAACAGATTACACCATACAGCACATATTAGTTATGTTTTATACAAACTACAAAAATATCTAACTAGATGAAACGGCTTCAAAATGTCACATTTAAAACATCATCATCTATACACAGGTGAATGTACACATATAAAACACATATATACACTCTCTCAATATATTATTATATAAAGAATTTGTTTTGTTTTCTGTCGATAAGCAGCTTGAAGAGGTTGTTTTCTACCGTGACTGTAGCTTTAGATGTATGGAACCAGAACCAAAAATATATGCATAGGTAGCTTTTTATGTAGTTGTTGGATCCCATGTAGATGACATATATATTTGTATGTGGGTGATTCTGTAAGATGTGCATCACAGGACATGCTACGTGTCTTTTACAATGATTTCATCCAATGGTGTCACATCTGCGTCAACAGTCTCCACTCTTTATATGCGATCATTTAAAAAGATATGCAGGTTAGCTGCCTTCATCTCATGCAGATTTCACATTCAGAAAAGCTTGAAGTGCCATTATCCATTTTGTGGCGTAAAACATTGCGTGTTTAACAGAAAGCGAGTCCGTTCGGATCCATCCCTTGACAGTTCAAAGCCAGTTTGATTGTTTTTCCTGTTGCCATCGTCAAGCTGGTGTCTAGACCATCTCCTTCAGTTCAACAACAGCAGAAGAACCAGAGCTGTGAAAACCGAAGGTGTAACTATTGTTCCCCTATTAGAAACAGGTGGAGTCCTGGGTGAACTTTGTTTAAGAGTGCTTGGTGGAAGTGCCTTAAGGTCTTCCAGGGCGCCATACGCTGCCATGGAGAACTCCGGATCACCTGTCGTGAGAAGATCAAAGACGCACGATTGGAAATAAACGTCCTCCACCTGGAGCATCTCTCGACACTTTGTGGTGGCACGTTCTAGCATGTCTATGTGCGAAGAGAGGCCTGATTTCACCTCTCCGCCATCGTCCTCTCCGTACCAGCCCCCCATGAGTCGGGGTGGACGCAAACTCTGCTGCCGGTTGAGCACATGGGCTTTGATGACCTCACTGCGCGGGCAGCCGTGAAGGCACAACTGCAGGCCGCCGTTCTCCTCTGCTAAGTCCTCAGGCATGCGGATGGCAAACGTCAGGTACCGCCCGACTTGCCTCACGATGATGGAGGTGCCCAGATAGCGAGCGTGGATCTTAACTTGCCGTATGCCCAAACCTCCACTACCCTCCACAATCCACAAGCTCTCCCCTTTCCCCCCGCTCCGCGTGCCGTCCTGGAACGCTGACGGCAGGTCCTCTGTGGTGGCCTGGTACACCTTCTGCTCGGTGCAGTCATGGTAGGACTTGAAGATGACGGTTATCTAAAGGGGGGATCAAACGGGAAGCGGTGAGTAATAGCACACACTAAAAATCAATACTAGAAATTGCTTTCAATTGACTAGAGGATTGTTTCAACATTGTGCTTTTGTGCAGACTGATATTTTGCTTTAAAAACTGTGTTTGAACGTGTCCTGACCAGGTTAGAGATGTTATGCTGTTGTTTATTTACTATTATAGTGTATTTTATCTTTGTTTTACTTCCTTTCATTATCATTTTTATAAACATTTTAAGTTTAATACTTTAACTTCAAATATAATGCAAATATTAAATATATAATAACAAGTCTAAGTTGTTTTTTTTTATGTTTTATTCACAAATTAAACATTGCACCCAAAACTATAAAACTAATTGGTCCAGAATTCCGCATCACAATATTTTTAATATTAATCTTTTAACTGTCATGAATGCACAAACTGGCTGTGATTGTCTTACACTTTTTATCCATTTATGTAGATAATATTATTTATTATTTATCCAAGTGAAACAACTAATTGCTAAATATAATAGGCAAACTAATAGGTAAATACTAATAGGTAAATATGAACTAAAACAAATATAAATATATAGAAGCTTATTTTTATAGCTTCTGATATTAAAATGAAAATATATTTTTGATATAATATTAATTAATATAATATTAATTAAAGCTGTAACTTAATATGATACGAGTAAGGCTAGAAGATTACTCAAAGAGATAACCCAGAATAATAATAATAATATTAACAGATGTCACCACATGGTGGCAGTAGAAGAACAGAGAAAAACAAAAATGGACAGCTACCAGCATCTAAACCACATTCTAAGACTTTTTTTTTTTTTTCATTTTGTACACTTTTGACTATAAAATTCTTATTTAGCCACCACATTTATGGTCAATGCATAATCATTAATTGCATCTAATTTTAGTAGCATATCGTAAGCTCTTTTATGGGCAAATTGTAAATCAAAAGAAACCTCTTGACTAATTAAAAGGTCTGTGCTGCCCCTTAAAGATATATTAAAATTACAAGTTTTGAGCGTGTATCTATATACTCCATTGGGATTAATAATTTCGGGCTTGACTCTATATGCATATTTGATTCTTACTCCATTACTACCTTTATTCTTCATGTGTGATGATCACCTTACAGGTATTGGCCATAACTAGAGAATGAATCATTTATTTTTTATTGCCTCCTCACTCATTGTGAAACAGCTGGGGGATTCTGTAAGTCTTTTGACCCTGCATTGTCACTAGAGCCCAACAGGCTAAATCCAAATCTCTTAATAGAACCGATAAAAAAAAAGTCCCCTTATGACATCATTGTTTAGGCGGACTCTGTCCCTCTCATGTTTTTAGTTTGATCGCTTTCTTTGGACCATACTAGGAGGACAGAAGACAGTTCTAGCCAACTCTTTCCCCTGATTTGTCACAAGTTCCTGATCAAATCAAACAAAAAATCACTTCCTAACAATGCGTGTAACAGTCTGTGGATCATGCAAAGTACATATTTTTGTTAAGAAAAAGGTCTGCATTTTCATTCTGAGAATGAAAATGAAAAAGGTTCAGTTGATGACATTCATTTTATGGACAAAAATAGATGAATTTCTTCTTAAAGAATCTTCTATTATGTTTTGAAGGGGGAAAAAAATCGACATTGTGCGTAAATGTAAACATTTGTTACCCATCCTCAGAAAATCATTAGTTTGAGGTGAGTTTGAACAAGACAAACTTCCACCAATGTTAACAGGACGATATACACGACTAACCTTGTTGGTTGCAGTAGCACTGGAGCCTTCAACCACTGGTACGTTTGTGACTTGAACTGAAAGGTATCTGTTGTGGATGAGCGGCCAGGCTCCCTCAACCCTACATGTCTGAAACTCATCCCGAAAAGTCCGCAAGTGAGGATCACCGAATAATCCACAATGTCCATACTTTTTCTGTTGGGCCGCCGGGCCTGATGCGAGCACCCTGCTTTCATAGTTGCAAACGTCCACCACTGTTGGCTTGGAAGTGCTGGGTGCTTTGGCCGACGATGTTGGGCCGTCGCTGGAGCAGTTGTGCTGTGCAAAGAGCTCTTTAATGCGGAAAACAGCAGAATGGTACACCAAGTCCCCTCTACAAGCACGAGCTGTACGCCGCGTACACAAGGAGTAGGCCCTCAGAGCGATGCAGTAGTCCACATCTGGATGCACCTCCTCTTGCAAGCCACCGGAGGGTGAGAATGAGGCCACGTACTCCGCATTACAGCGCTGAATCCGACATGCTTGGCAGCACACTGTTGAGAATCAAGAAGAATGTGTGAGAATTAGGCATTAATGAGATGCCTTTTAAACTCAGAGAATCACTATTTGATGGTTGGCTGGCGATGGAGGCATTCATAATTAAAGTTCTTAGTCTTAGATGGTTTCTAGTTATTGATCTACGCGCTAAACCTCTTAACAGCTACACAACTGCTGTATTTTGTCAATGTGACACATTCATTGGTTGCACTCAAGTCAGCATCTGTAAAGATAACTACAGGCTGGCGATTGCTATTCCAAACCATGAAAACATTCCTTATCTGGATCCCTTTTAATTAAGTTGTTTTATGGCTATGGGGTAACAAAGGCGTGAAAATAGTAACTGCTTCATTTCATATGATGACTTTTACGTGCTTTGAGTACAAGCCCAATAATAACAAATGTGATGGAATTTGGGTAGCATATGTGAAATATGGCCTCAGACGTGGTATTTGTATTCTACAAAGTTTCCACACCTTTCAACCAACATTTCCATTACTTCAGGGTAGTTTTTGGATAATGGTTGAGAGTACAGCACAATAAGAAGCAGCAGCATTCACTGATAAATTACCTATTCAATACACTGATTATGTTAATATTATATAAGTAACACACTGATTTATCTTTGACATTAATCATCACCCACATAATTAAACCTTTAATTACATCAGTTTAACATTTTTTAAATATGCAAATGTGTGAGATGTAGAGTATCCACATATATCGTTTTCTTCTGAACTGTCAGTTTTGATGGTAAAAACCTGCTATAATATTTGTTGTCAATATGCATTTAGCATGCTGACATTAGGCCAGTGTAATATTCTGACGGTATGATAACCTTGGATAAAAGTATCACTGTATTGTGATTACTGCTCTAATATATATTATTTTTAAATGTCTGGGTAAAAAAACCAAAAGAAATCACTTTAAAAAAAAACAACAATATATTTAAATTTTTGAAAAAATGTATATTTTTTTAACAGTAAACATGTCAGGCTGAATAATTTATATAAATTATTGAATTCATATGTCTTCATTTGTTTCAAAAATACAGATTTCTTTACAATTTAAAACAGCATCTTTAGATATATTTATTTCTGCCGGAGATACTGTTGTCCTAAAAAGCTACAAAAAAGTAAATAAAATTTTTTGGAATATTTTGGCGGTTTTAAAACCTTGACTTTTCCAAACCGTGGTATACCTTGAAAGCGGTTATCGTCCCGTGCCTAGCTGACATATGCTGTAAAAATGCAGGGTTCCACATAATTCAATGATGTTGTCCCAACACAAATAGGTTAAGTTAGCTAAACACTTTTAACAAATTTATGTAGATTTAACATAAAAATTTAAGTACATTTAAGTTGAGTGTAAGTGAATTTGTTGGTCTTACAAACAATACCACGTGAGGATTTGTTTATACATGATAGATTGCAACTGAAAATTATTTAACTCAGTTACATGTTAGTGTACCATTATAACATAGTAAATATCCATTATGCATGTTTTGTAGACTAAAATTATTTAGTTAATAAAAACACAGTAAATAATACTTAGATCAAACAGTTTGGTCCTTTCTAGCTACATAAAATTAAGGTTTGTGTTTCATTAACACTCGCGAATGTTGAAAAACTTCGTCTCGCGGCACAAAATAAACACACTGCGCGTGCTTTTCGCAGCAGAGGCGTAGGCAGTTAAAACGTGCAAGTAATGTAAAACAAAAATATGCCATATTTGCTCACTGGTGCTCAAAAATATCTTGCATTTATCCACCACACCAAGTCACGCTGTGTTCTTTCTCGTAGTCACTAACTTTCGACGTAAACAACTTCAAACAACGATGCAGCGAGAAGCTAGCCAGCTTAGCGAAAGTTTTGCCAACCTGATGAACTAACGTTAAGTGACTGAACTAAACAGACGCTTAAAATAGTAATCTGTGCTTGTTACATTAAAAACTTTTTTTTCAGAAGGTAAGTATACAATTGACTTCTCAGTTGAATACATGTATCAGTTTTAATTTGTTTCACAAACACTGCGCTGATTTGCTAGCGCGTTAGCAGGACAACTCTGGCCTACAGGGAACTAAATGCGTATTAAACGGACGGTGCGATTATAAGCACGGATATATACGTGCCGTAAATAGTGTGTTTTAACTTTTAACACAATTTTAAAACTCTAATCAAAGAAATTCCCTCCAAACAAAAGTGTAATGTTTCCCCGCACTGCTCAACCCGCAATGAGTGCGTGCATAAATCGATCAATACGAGTCAAAAGAGAGGAAAACTATTTACCTGGTCGGAGTAACAGGCACATAGAAACCACTACAAGATAAAACCAGTTCCAAAGCTGCCGCTTAGCCAGGTTGAGAGTGCCGCTTCTCCCCATGCCAATCCATTCAGTTTGATTGCAGTTCTCCAACTGCTGCTCATCTGCGTTGAGGCTGCGAGAAATCACACAACTTTTTTTAGTCCCTTCCCCAGCCACTGTCATTCAAAGGAAAAGTGCTGAAAAGCATCGCGGGGGAGGAGCTTCCAGCCGCCAGCCCTTTCCATGAACGTTGACAAGTGCTCAGTCACGTCTTTACAAGAGTTAAGTAGCACAAAAGTTTGCAAAAAAAAAAAAAAAAAATTATATATATATATATATATATATATATATATATATATATATATATATATATATATATATATATATATATATACTTTTTTTTGTGGTTACATTAGTATCTTTTGATAATTTTTAACATATAATCTATTGTTAATGGTTGACATGCCTGCTATAAGTTTTATTTTTAAACCTTGGTGATTTAATACTTTTGCTTTTCTAATTGCAGGTATTTACTTTGGACACCTGAGTATTGAGTCAATCTAGGGCCATATACTTAAAAAAAAAATAAAATAAAGATTTGCAAACAAAAAAATAAAGTATTAAGCAGAAATAAATAAGTAAATAAATAAATATATGCAAATCTTCATTTTTTAATTAATTAATTTATTAATTTTTTTGTCAGCCGCCGCAGCGGAATGAACCGCCAACTTATCCAGCACATTGTTACGCAGCGGATGCCCTTCCAGCCGCAACCTATCTCTGAGAAAAACATCCACACACACACGCACACACACACATATACACACACTCATACACTACGGACAATTTAGCCTACCCAGTTCACCTGTACCGCATTACTTTGGACTGTGGGGGAAACCGGAGCACCCGGAGGAAACCCACGCGAACGCAGGGAGAACATGCAAACTCCACACAGAAACGCCAACTGAGCCGAGGTTCGAACCAGCAACTTTCTTGCTGTGAGGCAACAACACTACCTACTGCGCCACTGCTTCGCCCCTTTATTTATTTTTTATTTTTGAGAAATAAAAAAATTATTTTAATAACTAAAATAAAGAACTGCAAAGGAAAAAATAAGTTTTGAGAAATAAAAATTTAATTAGCAAACAAAAAAGATGCAAATAAAAATCAACCAGTGCAAAAGAAATAAATATTTGCCTAAAATATATGCAATTTAAAAAAAAAAAAAAAAAAAAAAAATATATATATATATATATATATATATATATATATATATATATATATATATATATATATATATATATATATATATATATATATATATATATATATATATATGCTAAACATATTTTCTTGTTAACAGATGATAAATGTGATTTTTTTCAAGATTTATTTATTTATTTGTTTATTTATTCATTTATTTATTTATTTATTTTTCTCAATACTTTATTTTTTGTTTGTGAAACTTTCTTTTATTTTGCAAGTATATATGGCCCTAGATTAATACATTTACTATTAAAAAATAAACATGTTAAAACAAGCATGGGAACAAACCACTGTCATCTATCAAGTGCATCACTTTTAGACAGCTGAAAGTCTACAAAGCCTATTCTGATCTGTGTAATAAGTAGAGGAAAGCTGTAGAAATGAAAATAGCTCAGCCTTGCCTGGAGGGTTGAGTTTTATGATGGGCTTAAGCATGCAAATCCTACTTTCTTCAATCTAATATCATGGTTTGTTGAACTACTTTGAGCTGGTTTTATTGTGTTTGCAGTTCAGTTAGTGCTTCGAGATATGGGGTTGCTTTGAGATTATGGAAAATGAACAAAAATCGCTTACCTTTTAAAATTAATTTGAGGATCCATTGAAACAGTTTCCTTTAAAGTAAACACAAAATGTGTACATTAATTTTGATATATTAGTTAATTGCACATATAATAACTCGTGTTATCACAGGTTGATTTAAGACTTGAAGTCTGACCTATAACAACATGTGCATTAACGTGGTAACAGTGATTACCTAAATACTACTTCTGGAGAGTCGGCGGAAAACATAAAGTGATTTCTGTCTCAGCCCATAGTGGTATTGATACTACAGAGGCATCATTCAGAATCTGGCCACTGAAGCAAATACCTCATTCACTCAGGTGGATGGATCAGTGAGCCCCTTACAAGCACCGCATGCCAGTAGACGACTTGACAAGGCTGATGGGCGGAGAAAGGGTTCTTTCTTTCCCCCACATTTGTGAGCATATTACATTGCATGACCCAGCGAATATACATATTCCTCTGGCCAAAACAAGAAGGGAGCGAGTCAATTACAGAGATGAATCAGGTAAAAAAAAAAAGAAAGAAAGAAAGCAAGAAAAATGAGAAAGAGAAAATAAAGGAACGGAAAAGAAGGGATAAGCCAGTACATTTCTCCTGACACTGACTCACTTGTTCTTATACAATAGTGGAATGAGGTCAGTCTGGTAAAATTAGCCATCCGCTTCATAGCAGGACTGAATGCCAGGCCAGTGAGAGGGGACGGAGAGTCTCCATTTGAGAGTTGGAGAAACTAGAGAAATAAAGAGACTATGCTTTTTGACAGAGAGTGAGATGAAGTATTGAGAAGAGGAGACGAAGGTTATTCACTAAAAGCCCAGAACTCCTACTCTGTGTAAGGTAAGCAGTGAAGTAAAACAAGATTAACCATTACACCAACTATGAGACCAAAAAAAAAAAACTGAAACTGAATAATGATTGTTTTCAAATAGGTTTCCCCAAAGACTCCCCTCATCTGTTATTGGTTGAACAAACGTCTAGGTGACGCCCCAGATTCACACCATTGGTTAAGCTGCTGTTGTCAGACTGGTAAGGATGTTTTCATAACTCAACCAAACTGTTTTTAACGCTCCTTGAGGGAATGAACTTACAAACTTAAGACTGTGTCTGCACATTAAACTGGGTAACTTTTATAATGGCAAAAAAGATACCCTTCTGCTTTAAGAAAACAATCGGCTGAACTTTTATTCATGCCATAAATTCATAGGTGGATGTTGGAGTGAAAGACAGAAAAGTTGCGAAGTGACAGAAGGAGAGTAGGAGAAGGAAGAAAAAGAGGAAGAGGCATTGGGTTTCCACTGACTGTATGTCTGGGCAGCTCCATATGGTCCTCATTAAGGTGCTCAGCTCTACACCACACTGCTTGTTTTTGTTATTAGGTCTATCACGTTTGGTATGGAGGGCACTGGAACATTGGGCCAGTGATGGGTCTTGCCCAGTGGATTTCCACCTATTGTTATTCTTACCTAAATCTAAGGCATATATATATATATATATATATATATATATATATATATATATATATATATATAGTTGAAGTCAGAATTATTAGCCCCCCTGAATTATTAGAACCCCCTGTTTATTCTTTCCCCTTATTTCTGTTCAACAGAGAGTAGATTTCTTCAACACATTTCTAAACATTATAGTTTTAATAACTCATCTCTAATAACTGATTTGTTTTGTCTTTGCCATGATGACAGTAAATAGCATTTTACTAGATATTTTTCAAGACACTTCTATGCAGCTTAAAGTGACTTTTAAAGGCCTAACTAGGTTGATTAGGTTTACTAGGCAGGTTAGGGTTATTAGGCAAGTTATTGTATAACGATAGTTTGTTCTGTGGACTATTGAAAAAAGTTAGCTTAAAGAGGCTAAAAATTTTGTCCTTAAAATGGTGTTTAAAAAATTAATGACTGCTTGTATTTTAGCCGGAATAAAACAAATAAGTCTTAAGACTTTCTCCAGAAGAAAAAAACATTATCAGACATGCAGCATAAATTTCCTTGCTCTGTTAAATATAATATGGGAAATATTTAAAAAAGCAACAAAAATTCAAATCAACCCAGGCTCATTCTAACAACGTAGTCCCGCAGACGTTTTTGGAGACCGTGAAAATACATCCAGGACATACGTATTTTTGCAGTATTTGTTTTCGCGAATTCGCGAGAGGCCACTGTGTGTGCTTTTTTGCATCTCAAATGTGTTTCGTGAGTGCCGTTCGCGCTGTTCTCATATGAACCCACCAGAGGCCGCTGTCGACCGACTAAATGACTGAATGATTAATTGGGCGTACAGTTTATTTTTTGGATTTTGTTTTTGTTTGACCTGATTTCTGGAACTGCTCTTCCCCGGACTCTAACCCGGTCGTTGTTGATGTTGTGGTCAAATCCTTTCTGCTTCTCAAGTCCGCCATCATACATGACGAGCTAACTGGACAAACTGGTTACGGCGGGAAAGCCCTCCACCCGTAGGTAATCGGTCAGCCGGTAAGCGCCAAAAGGAACGGCGTCATACCACCCCGGATCGTTCCCTTAAAAAAATTAAATGCAGCCATACGTACCTCGTTTAGAATTGATTGTACACACAGCCTTGGAAGGTGCCTCAACATATTAATGAATGATAATTTAGTTTTTAAATTTCTTTTCCAGCAGTTGTGAAACACTTGTCATGTAATATCTAGTGGCCTAAATGGTGCAACTATGACATAAAATGTTTATCCACACTACGTAGCTAAAATTAAACTTCTCTGTAGTCCATTTGAGTCAGGGATGAGAGGTTTGCTTCACTGGTGACAGAGACTCAGAGCAATTACCATAGATAACAGGGACAGAAGTGTGTGCCTGTAAGAGGCTGCCACTGATACCATCTCTGCTCAAGGATCCCACTTAACTGCCTTGATTGATGCCCAACTGAACTCTAGGGGGTACGTAAAGAGAAGGTCTTTGTGGGCCCTAAGTGGATTGCTTTCCCCCTGAGAGTTGTTATGTATTAATTTGTAATGATTGCACTTGAAGTACATTTAATAGCATTGAAAAAAAGTAGTTGCTTTTCTGTGATCTGGCATTGTTGGCCTTCGCACATTTGATAGACTGAAAATATTTATTGTTTGCACCTAATTTTTGGCGCTAACAGTGTCTTTTTCATTCAGGTAATTCGAATGCAAACACAAAATACTTTTTTCTTTACTCTTCCTTCGAGCTGCTTCCTTCTATTCAAGAGATGCTGTTGACATAGTGTCAAGCTCAGTCCTTTTTAAAAAGATAAACACACAAGTAACCTTAGATTCGGGGTCATGGGGTCTTCTCAGTGTGGTGAAGAAAGACAGAGGAAGTAAACAAAGGCAGAATGAGGAGAAGCCTTAGATCTCTACTCTAAGAAGGACTAAGCTTAAGCAAAGGCGATCTGTAGGATCAACGTTGAGCTGCTCCCATCTATACCTGACAATAGGTGAAGCCAAGAGACTTTGTTGTTGAACTTTAGGTTTCCTATCAACAGCCACATACACAGCATTAAACATTTCAAGGTGACTCAGTTTGAGATACTTTATCTAACTCAAACAAGTTTTGGTGTAAGTTCAAGCAGCTTTCAAGTAGGTGTGGTGTGATATGTAGCCTATATGTGTCAAGAGTTGTTGACGCTATAGGTTGTAAGGTCTCTTGTGGGGGTAAAAAGAGGTTCATACTGGCATTTATAGTTCTATGGAGAACATTTGCTGAAATTAAAGTCTTACCATTACGTCTTAAAAACGATTCCATGAAGAACCTTTAACATTGCTATTGGACATTTTTTTCTTTTACTTTAGCTGTTCACTGTATAGTTCTTTGGGAAACCCTTTCTTATGGCATTAATTGCAAAAAATTTTTTTTTTTTCATCTCTTAAAAGATTGTTAAACTAAAGTTTCAAGAGTTCACACTTAGCTGATGATTATAAAGCATGCTTGGCATATTGTCCCGGGAGAGAGCCCTGAGCTCATGAGATCCTCGAGCCTGGGGCTCCCTCCTGTTTGCAGGGTGAGAGGGGAGTTTGAGCTCAGGTACATCTCGAAAACTCTCCTGCATGGTAATAGTGAATGCAAATTATGAATAACTAAGAAAATTTTGCTTATTAATTGCTTGTCTATTGGGTTGATTTGGTTTAGTCAATTACTTATGTTAGATGCAGGGGCGTAGCAACTGGGGGGATGGCGGGGGGGGGGGGGGGCAGACCATTTAGAAACAAGTGATTAATAATTGTATGATTCAGCTGCCCCCTCCACTTTTAAAATTTCTGCTACGCCTTGGTTACACGTTTTTGGCCTGTGGGAAGAAGCCTGAGAGCCCAAGGAAAACCCACGCAAACATGGGGAGAACATGTAAACTCTGCACAGAAATGTCAACTTGGCCAGGCAAAGACTTGAACCAGTTACATTCTTGCTGTGAGGCAACGGTGCTAACCACTGAGCCTCCATACTGCCCTGTCAAGGAAAGGGGAGGAGTAAAGGTAGAAAAGAAGATTCTTCAAGATGAAGATGGCTAAGGTAAGATACTCTAATTATTTGGTTATGTTTATTTATGAACTAATTTTGAGAGGATCACGTGCTTATGATTTACACGGCTGGCCCCGCATTAGCTTACGTAAGATTTACCAATCAGACAATTTATAACTTATTATGAATAACCAAAGCATCTTACCTTAGTCATCTCTGTCTTAAACAATCCCCCCTTCCACCCCCTCTCCTCCTCTTTTTTTCTTCTATAGGGCAGCACAGCGGCCCAGTGGCTTGCACTGTTGCCTTACAGCAAGAATGTTTCTGGTTTGGCCCTTTACCTGGCCAGTTGGCATTTCTGTGCGGAGTTTATGTTCTCCCCTGCTTGCGTGGGTTTTCCCCAGGTTCTCTGGTTTCCTCCCACAGTTCAAAACATGAGACGTAAGTAAATGGACTAAACCAAATCAGAACCATAGACTAATTTTATCAGCAGCATATCCTCATAGCAATCCTTAAGCAGCCCTTAGAAATTAGTTTATGAATAAACTTCTCTTCTTTATGATGGAAAATTCATAGATTGTTCACTGAAGGATTCTTTGCAGAACCAAAACATTCTTTAATTTAATCTATGGATCAATAAAGAACCTTCATTCTGTTTATTCATTTCCATTGCTCAAAATAGTTATTTTACAGAAGGGTCCTTGGGAACATATATGTTCTTTAATATATAAGGCAGCAAAACCCATCTTGGTAACCTTTATGTTTTGACATTGTAACAAAAAATGGAACCTTATTATATATATTTTTTTAAAGAATATATTTGGAGAAATGTTTTTGTTCATATAAATAATTCAGAACTAAGTCCAAGACAACATGACTTGTGTGTGTTCCACAGAAAAATGAATGGTTACAGTTCCTTATACTATAAGGTCAGAAAGCTGGATCTAGTACAGCCTAGCTTGAGCACAACAAGTCAGCTATTAAAATGATTTCTAGCTAAATGGAAATCTTTAAGAGTGAATGTACAAATTTTGTTTCCATTGTCAGACTCTGTGGCCTAAAACAAACACATAAAGTAGCAATGATTATATATATATATATATATATATATATATATATATATATACTCTCCAATTTAAAGTATAGCTATGTTGCAGTTTCAGTTAAGAGGTGTGTATAGAATTTTCAAACATTTTTGCTGAAGAACGTGACAAAATAACTGATGTGAGAAGGGAAGAATGCAAGAGAGAAGCAATGAAAACTCCTAAAGTTCTCTTGCTCCCTCTCCCTCCCACAACAACACCTGCTCAGGCTCTCATTTCAAACCTCTCAGCTGTGGGAGCATTCTATGACCAAATAAATCCGTAGAATCAAATGCGACTCCTGCTCCCAGACCTTCAAGTCCAGCCCCGAGCTCAAGCCATGGGAACACAATACATTCAGTGCAACAAAGCTCATATCACCCAGAGCTTACTATTCATCTTTCGAGAATTCTGGCCTCTGCTGATGATTTTTGCCTAAAGTGCTGAAGTTTTTCACCACTATCATCGTCATCTCATTGGAAGGCAGCTTTTCCACTCCCCCAGTCACAAAGTATGACAATGAACAAACTGCTTTTCTTTGACATGGATCTTACAAAATATACATGTGTTATTCCCCCAATAGTTATTTATTTGTATATTTTTTAATTGTATGACTCTTTTTTTTTATGCTTTACTCTCAAAAATAAAGTTTCTTTATTTGGATTAATAGTTTCACAAAGAACATTTATGCATACTCTTTTAAAATATATATATTTTTATATTGGCATTGATGGTTCTATAAATGTTCTGTTGCACCAAATGGTTCTGTTGCACAAGATTTTATTATAGTAGAAAAAGTATCTTAAAATTTTATAAATGTATTAATATATATATATATATATATATATATATATATATATATATATATATATATATATATATATATATATATATATATATATATATATAAATGTATATTAAATGTATATTAAACATTTAATACATAAAATGTATATTTACTTTAGAACACATGGTATATGGTTGTATTAAAATCTCTTTACTGAATTTTTTTTTTCTGGATCGCAGAATGTTTTTTATGGCATTATTCATTAAAGCAAACAACAACAACAACAAAAAATTTTTGGAACCTTTGTTTTTACAAATGGACACAATGGTCTTTGTAGCAGATAAAGTGTATTTACAGTATCGAAATACTGTTCAAAGATTCTTAAAAATGTTTAACTAAACCTTTGAAATCTGTGGAATCTATTCTCATCATAAAATGTTTTTTTATGGTGTAAAAAGCTTTAGGAATTTCAAAAAAATATTCTTCATTCTAAGTTACATAGTTTTATGAGAAGCCATTGAACCAAAAGTAGTCTCACTTATTTGCCAGTTAAATTCCATAATATGCCAATTACATGTGATACCAATTTCAATTGTTCACACAAACATACGTTTTTTATTTATTTACTTTTTTTTATTTTAGTTCTTAGTTATTACCTTGATAAAAGAAAATGTGAACAAGGCATCATGTATGACAGTTGCCAAAGTGAGATATGAGCTATATAGGAGACATCTTGTATTTACAGTGTTTTTACCACTGCAACCAAATTATTGAATAAATTAGATGTATTAATAAACTAAATCTGTCCAGTTTAATGAACTATAATGAGTTAGGTTAAAAGGTGGCACTGAAGAACAAATCAATCACAACCACTACATCTGTTATACACATAAAGCTATCATATAACATCATGCTACTTTTATTATCCAGATGACCATTCTTTCCACCCATTGTTTGTTCATCTTTACTTTGTTTATCTTCTACAGATTTTTGAACAGCACAATGAATTGGATAACATATTAAAACTGATATCCTGAGGACATTCTCAGATCACAAGGAACAACACTTTTCTAAGATGTTTTTTTTTATGCTGTATTGAGCAGTTTTAAATATTGCATAAACTTCAAAGCTTGTGACAAAGATCCCCCTTGTATCTTCTAAAGTAAAATTCTGTCAGATTTCTCCAAAAACCGAAGAGTTGGGTTTAAGACTCACATCACAAAGCTGCACTAGGCAAAGCAGCTTTACTGTAGTAGTTTTAACAACCAAGGGTTCACTTTAAGGGTCAGTGAGTATCAAATGACATGAGTAATGGCATTCCTCGTCCCAAAGCGAACGGCAGAAAGATGAAATGGAACTTACCTCTGATTTTTGTGACTGATGGGCATGTGGCATGAAGGTGTAAAAGAGCATTTCACTGAGAGAAGTCTGTTAAAGCGTGTTCCCTTGCTGCCTCCACCAGACAACTGTGTCCAGCTTTGCTTGACAAAGGGAGATAGCTGTGAATTAAAGCACATGACAACAGCTGTCTTTTTAAAGAATCGGCACTTTGATTAGGATTGGTTTGTAGTTAAGCAGTGTTCGCTAATTCCTACATATCGGGGAAGGGCGGGCAGGGAAAAAAAGACGAAAAAATGCAGAACACACTAGCATGCACGCACACATACACAATTATACACATCCAGAGGATTTGACAACATATGTCGACTTTGGCTGCAGTCCCATATTCTACAATGGTCATCCACATGGTGCGGTGTGTAGTAGTAAAGGCCGGAGAGCTACAGCAAATGCATAGCAACTCTGAAAAGTATCTGGTCACACCTTAAAATGATTGTCATTGCTTTAGATGCTAAGTAATTAATGTATTAAAAGTGTTGCTTACGTGCGCGAATACATTTTGGGATTACATTTTTGTTTATATATATGTAATCTTTATGTTATCATGTGTTAACCATTTTATGATAGATAGATAGATAGATAGATAGATAGATAGATAGATAGATAGATAGATAGATAGATAGATAGATAGATAGATAGATAGATAGATAGATAGATAGATAGATAGATAGATAGATAGATAGGTAACACTTTACAAGAAAGTCTCATTAGTACACATTAGTTAATGGGTTAAAATCAAGAGTCAGAAATAGACAAATTAACATATTAAGTTAAATATATAGCAAAAAAAAAGACTTATTAGCTTTAATAAAACAATGACTTTTGATTGCATTAATGTGTTATTATTTGCATCATTGATATGTTATTACCTAATTACCATCACCTCAAGTTTAATGTTTTTGTAGTTGTCATTGCATTGACTTCAGTTAAATTAACCAATATTAATAGATAGAACTTTACTGTACAAAGTCAACAAACAAAAGGACTAAAATAGATAATTTACAGAATTTTCAATGTCATAGGCCAGATTAACATGATGTTTGAAAATGTGCTGTCATGAAAAAACACCACCAACACAACAATCTGAATTTTATTCATGCTTCTTAAAATGCACTACAATATTAAGTCCATGTTCCATAATAGTAAAGTATGTTCCATGAAGACATTTTGTAAAAAAAAAATAAATAAATATATATATATATATATATATATATATATATATATATATATATATATATATATATATATATATATATATATATATATATATATATATTTATATATATATATCAGCCGGATCTCACGTGGAAATGTAACTATTTTTTGTTTTGTTAGTTTAGCAGCTTGTTCATACCAATCGTACAAATTCGTACGAATTACAAAAGGAAACGTGGCAGCCAACCCCACCCCTAAACCCAATTGGGGGATAAGCAAATCGTACTAAAATGTGACATTGTAGGATTTTATACAAATTATCCACTAAATAAAAAAAATAATGAATCGCTGTGAGATAGCGTAGAAATGTAAAACTCAATTCCTTCAGTCAAAGTAATTTGCTTGGCTAAGATCTTAATTTTAAGCAGTTTTCTCAATATTTGTAATGTTTTAACCCTCACATTCCAGATTTTCAAATAGTTGTGTTTCAGCCATCAATCAAGAAGCCATGCATCAATGCAGTTTTTATTTATTTAATTTTCATATGATATAAACATCTCAATTTCCAAAAAAAAAAAAAACAAACTGTCCAATTACATTTTTATTTTATTAGAAATGATTCTTTTCTTCAAATATTTAAATCATGGCATACTTGCTTTGAATTTGATTTTAGTTGTATTTGCATGTGTCTGGACAAAAATGTACTCCAAATAACTCTTCATCACCTTAGAATTATAAGGTTCTATCTGACATTTTTGTCAAAATTGAGTTATTGACGTTCTTATTAAATTACATTCTTATCTTGACATTCTGATCTTATTAAATGACAGCTTATTTACATTATGGGATTTTTTTATAAGTTGTTTAAATTTTAAGACTTTTTATTTAAAAACAAATGTTACACACATACTGTTTGCTATATGAAATGCAAAAGCTCAATATCTCAGAATCATTCAGAACGCAGATAGAACCTTATAATTCCAAGGTGACGATCTGATGTATCAACTGAAAAAGCGTTTTTGAATCGGTTCCAAATTTCCACTTTATTGAATATGATACAACAAAACATGCTTTAAAGCACAACAAAAGTAAAACTAGATCACTTAAGCTCTTTGAGCGTGCAGATTCTTTTCTGTTTGCAGTAAAATATTTTTCTTGTGCACAAGCAGCTGTTCAAATAGACAGCTGCTCTGGCCATTCATTCAAATGGCAGTGATTACAAATCAAGCTTGTGTTGTCTTTATGTTGATCCATTGCTATTCCAACGAGTAATCCTCGCTCTCCTGCACATGTTCCTGCACACACAAACAGACATGAGCATTCTTGTCCATTGATCAATCCAATGACTAAATTCGATGCATGTTACAGCGACATGACAAACATTTCTTCAAACACAAGGGGCCTAAACTGCAGCTTTGTGGCACCGTTGGATTTGCGATGCTGGTGGATGGTGAAGCCACTCGGTGCCACATAATCTCTCGCTCGCTTCACATTTTTTCCGTATCTATCTGTATGAGAAGAATCCATCCAACCAAAGCCTCTGTGGCGACAGCGAGCGCTTCATGCCAGTCTCCTATGTGCAATAACAGATAAACCTGCATGTAAAAGCGTAACACATGCACATACATCAGTGCAAACTTATGCACTGGCACACATTCACGCCCATCGTCCCGCCAGCTGTTCCTCACCCTCACTGCATGCAGCAGGTGTAGGCTGGACCTTGAGGGGCCGGGGCGGGTGTGGGCATGGCTTTTTTTATGGAGAACAAAATTGCTATTGTTACAGTACAGCAATGCGCTTCGTCCCACGATGTGCCTGGAAATCTGTCTCACGTTCTTTCTGCTTTGTGCACAGCTGCAGAGCAAGGCGTTCATAACAATCCTAGTTAAGGTCTTATATGACTCTTCAGGCTTGTAACACCCCCCCCCCCCACCCCCTTAATGAGTTGTGCACTTTAAAGTGTGTTAAAGATGAACAATTCAGAACTGAATGCAATTTGAATTGATTAATTATGTCTGTTTGTTCCACTGTTTGTTTACCTAGCTTTTTTTACCTTTTGTTTCCCTGTCTGTCTTTCTGTCTGTCTGTCATATGTGTGTTTGTTTAGTCATCCGTCCATCTGTTATCTGACTAAATATGTCTGTCTGTTGTCTAATATTTAACTGTCTGTCTATCTTATCTTATCTTATCTTATCTATCTATCTATCTATCTATCTATCTATCTATCTATCTATCTATCTGTCTGTCTGTCTGTCTGTCTGTCTGTCTGTCTGTCTGTCTGTCTGTCTGTCTGTCTGTCAGTCAGTCATATGTGTGTTTTCTGTCATTTCTGTCATATTATCTGTCATATTTATCTAACTAAATATGTCTGTCTGTTGTCTATCTTATCTATCTATCTATCTATCTATCTATCTATCTATCTATCTATCTATCTATCTATCTATCTATCTATCTATCTATCTATCTATCTATCTATCTATCTATCTATCTATCTATCTGTCTGTCTGTCTGTCATATGTGTGTTTGTTTATTCATCCGTCCATCTGTTATCTAACTAAATATGTCTGTCTGTCTGTTGTCTAATATTTAACTGTCTGTCTATCTAACTATCTGTCTGTCTATCTATCTATCTATCTATCTATCTATCTATCTATCTATCTATCTATCTATCTATCTATCTATCTATCTATCTATCTATCTATCTATCTATCTATCTATCTATCTATCTATCTATCTATCTATCTAATCAATTTGTCTGTCTTTCTGTCATCTAACTTAATATCGGTCTGTCTGTCTGTCTGTCTTTCTCTCTGTCTGTTGTCTAACATACAGTTGTTCTCAGTCGCTTTGATGCATTTCTCACAACACTATTTACATTTGCACAACAGGTAATGCATTTCTCAAATTTGTACAATTAGCAAAACCTAGTTGATAACCTGCAAAACTGTGTCACTTGCTCAAAATGGATAGCTCATTCCTCAAAAGCAAGTATTCATGTCAATGAAAGTGTCAGTGTCATCAAGATGAAAAGTCCTGACAACATTGTTTATGAACAAGATAGTCAAATGGCTTTGTCATGTTTTTATTATAAGAGTTTACTCTCTAAGTTTTTTCCAGTCCAAAAAAGTCAGATTTTGGTGACACTTGCTGAAAATGCTCAAGACAGCACTATATACTATTTGCACAGCCATTTGAAAACCAAAGTAAAGTTAGACATCACTGCATTTAGTGAGGTATCTGAGTAGAAGACATTTCATTCATTTTCTTGTCGGCTTAGTCCCTTTATTAATCCGGGGTTGCCACAGCGGAATGAACCGCCAACTTATCCAGCAAGTTTTTACACAGCGGATGCCCTTCCAGCTGCAACCCATCTCTGGGAATCATCCACACACACACTCATACACTACGGACAATTTAGCCAACCCAGTTCACCTGTACCGCATGTCTTTGGACTGTGGGGGAAACCGGAGCACCCAGAGGAAACCCACGCGAAAGCAGGGAGAACATGCAACCTCCACACAGAAACGCCAACTGAGCCAAGATTCGAACCAGCAACCTTCTTGCTGTGAGGCGACAGCACTACCTACTGCGCCACTGCCTCACCCAAGACATTTGCTCATTGCAATTTTAATTCATTCACATTGTGCAAAATAATAAATACACCTTTATTTAAAAACAAACATAATTGAGCTGTGCACAACTGTAAACAATATTGCAGTACATATTGGAACTGATCCTACAACATAGATGGGTCTGTAAATTATTTATAAAACTGTTCAATTTAGAAGACATTTTCAGGAAAAAAAGATTACTTTTTTTAATTAAAATATGCTTGACAACTAGTTCAACATTTTTGTATGTAATGACTCAAGTAATGAAAAAAGGACTAATAGTTTTATATGCAATGACTA